AAAAAGCCACAACAGTGAGAGGCCCGCGTACCGCACCCCCCCGCCCCCCACAAATAAGAAAAAGGTACCTTTTAAAATATAAATTTATTTATTTTATTTATTTATTTTTGGCTGCATTGGGTCTTCGTTGCTGCACACGGGCTTTCTCTAGTTGTAGTGAGCGGGGGCTACTCTTCGTTGCGGTGCATGGGCCTCTCATTGCGGTGGCCTCTCGTTGCCGAGCACGGGCTCTAGGCACGCAGGCTTCAGTAGTGGTGGCTCGCGGGCTCTAGAGCGCAGGCTCGGTAGTTGTGGCTCACGGGCTTAGTTGCTCTGCGGCATGTGGGATCTTCCCGGACCAGGGCTCGAACCCGTGTCTGCTGCATTGGCAGGCGGACTCCCAACCACTGCGCCACCGGGGAAGCCCTAAAATGGTACATTTATGTTGTGTATATTTTACCACAACTAAAAAAAGATAAAACATCATATCATTATGTTGTACACCTGAAACTAATATGTCAATTATACCTCAATTAAAAAATAAGTAGGAAAAACAGGTTAAAAATAGAAACTGCAACCCCAGAAGGCCCTCCTTACAGGAGGGGAATTTCTTTCTTAGTGGCACTTCATCTGAGATTTCAAGGGGGCCTTCTCAGCTGGAGAAGCAGTAGGTTTCAGACAGTAAATCTTTTGATTTTCACAGCACATTAAAGTACACAAAATAAGGGGGACCAACTTAGCATTGTCAGCTTCTTAATTTTACCAAGTAAATTCTTTAAAAACTAATGGATACAACAAATTGCTGTCTACTATCACTGTCATCCTTTACAAAAAATAAAAGCCAGGTCACAAAGAATATATTTTTATATTGAAATCATTTGCTGGATGTAAACCCTCACTCCTACCCTTTTGCTCTTACTTAGCATTGAAAAAACTTTTGTCATGGCCCTTGGACTGATTACCAGAGTTGGGTATTCTAGGCTTAAATGGATTTCCTATTAACCATCTCACCACAATGCAGGTTATAACAAATGAGGGTTTGCAACGTGCCAAGGTTCCTGGGCATCCACTGTTCGCTTTATATCTCTTTTATAACCTGGTAAATTTTCTTTGTAAAAGGCCTGTTCTCATGACAGCTTGAATCTACCTTAACAGAAACAAGGCAGGCAGAAAAAGAGAAGGCTACCAGTTTCTATGTGAACACTGTATTTCCATTTAAGCTCAAATTTCCGAGAGGAGAAAGCCCCTTAGGAGTCGAAGAGGTGGGGGGGGGGGGATACAATAGGGAAGAGGTGAGGACTTTCTCTAAAGTTTCAAAACCATTTAAGTGGTCCTGGAAACATTTAACTGGAAGCAAATGACAGGAGCTTCCCAAGGGACTGTAGAGAAACACCCCTGTGGGCTACTCTCCCTTTGACCTCTTATTCACACTAATCTCCCCCTTTTGACTTCTGCAATAAAGGTGAGGAGAGAGGATTCTTAGAGGAAAGAGCCAGAGCCTAGGAATGGTTTATCTTCCCGGGGAAAATCTCTCTGTGATAGTGAGAAAGGACTGAGAGGTGAGTTTCAACCTGCAGCCCAGGAGCTTGGGGACTTTCACACCAGGTAACTGGAGAGCTGCCCTGTCACCTGGCTGGGAGTGCTGGTTCCGACTCCAACAGAAGAGAGGGAAAGTCAGGGTTTCTCTCTTTTGAACTATTAGAGGAAAAAGAACTAGTAAATAAGGCACTCCCTTGGACCATTGTCTTGCAAAGCAAGGACTTGAGAAATCCACCAATATTTACGGTGTAGATACTGCAGTCAAGACATTGTTGAATTTTAGCTGTGTCGATAAGAAGGCCCTCCTTTATTTTGCCCTGACCCTTTGCAGATCTACTCGTTCTAAAACCAATTTCTAGTTTACTTCTTTGTTGCTTTGATCCACAATTTCTGATGATCCCTGCAGAGGTTGAGGAAGACATTTTGCCTTATAATATCATCACTTAATAGAATGAGAACATATTGAATAATCACTATGTACCAGACACTCTCCTAAGCATTTTATGTGTATTAACTCACCTAATCCTCACACTAACTCTATGAAGCAGTGATCATTACTCTCCTCACCTTACAGATGGGGAAACTGGACCTGACAAACTTACTGAAGGTGCCACGGTTGTGCTCTGACCCCCCTCTCTACAATCCTTCATGACGGGAAGTGTCTCCATACAGACTGTTCAGCCGTTAGGAATTTGAAAACATCTAATTTTCCGCTATTCTACTTTCCAGAATAGTTTCTAAAACCCTATTATTGTAAAAAAAAAAAAAAAAAAAAAAAGTGGGGACTGTACGCTAAGTTCTATATTTTTAAAAATGGAGGGAATGAGCTAATCACTGCATCAGGGCAAAAGACATCTCTCCGGCATAATTAAGGATTTACCTGCGTGCCTCAGGCTCAGCTTTGCCAGAGGTCTAAGTTTTCCCAGTTGTCTCTTTCTGTCTCCCCAGCTATACTGTGAGCGCAGGAGAATGTCTTTTTCAAGTCTCTTTATCTCCAACACCCAGTGTAATCCCTGGTACTCAGTAGGCAGGCATTTACTACATGTGAGGGAAGATATTAACAACCCAGCACCATGATTAACCACAGACAGGTGAAGTTACTTGCCTCCAATCTGCACAGAGCTAGTAAGCTTCAGGGTTGGAAGGCAAACACAGATTTGATTCTGAAAATCTAGGCTGTTTCCACAAAGAAGGCCATCCCTATGCATCCTCTTATGTATTTTTCATGTTAGTGTTCTCTTTCCTATGTTGTGAATTCCTAGTGGATGTCAGTCTCCAGAGCGGCCTTTATTTTATAGGTGTTATTTATCAAGTGCTTATTATGGGCCACACATTGTGCTCAGCACCCCCCATACACGATCTCATTTAATTTTCCCAACAATCCCATGAAGCTTGGCGATATTATTACAGCCTTTGACAGATGGGCAAATGAGACTAAATGGGGCAAGTTAACTTGTACGCTAGCCTGAGTAAGAGGTTCCTAAATGCAAATTCTGGGTCCCTGCTGTGTGCTCTTGCCCAGGCCTTCAGACCTTTGCCACCACCCCACCCTGCTTCATGAAGCCTCTGGTGCCCTGCTGGGTCCCTCAGCCTCTTCTGACACTTCATCAGCCATGGACTGGCAGGGCCACACCTGGATCTTGCCATGATCTAAGATGGCTCCACCTATGAAACTCAATAACTCTCATCCAACCTGACTCACTCCCCTACTGCCAGGTAAGAATGCACTGTTTTTAA